CACCTTATCTGTATTATAAAACTATGCACTTGAATTACAACGCAGGTTCCATATAACTTATCTTTCCATTCATAGTCACACTGTGTGGTCTTTAGCTTTGCATGGTAATGAAGGAAAACTACTGGAGGGGCATCAAGTTCTTTTGTCAGTTTCCATCTTTTCTGTATTCTATTAATGTGCTCGGGTTGATTTGTAGGCAATGTTTCATTGTTAAGTTGCCACGTCAAACTTTCAGTTAACTTCTAAAGTTTGAATACTTTCATTAAGTTGTCTGTCAGATCCTGCTAGCAGAAAGAACTCTGTAAGTTGCAGTCAGCAATCGGTTCCCCTTGAGTCTCGTATCAGGTATCAAACAGCACAGCAAATGTGTATGTACTCAGCCTTCTGCAAGAATATTTAATGTTTACTAAAGTATAACAGGGGAAATATAGGCCAATCACAGTGAAGAGCAAATATCATGCAGAGCATAAAATGAGTGACACAGATACTCTTCAGATAATAGTAATAAAAAATAACCAATAAAACACAAATACAGAAACTAGAAATAGGGCACGGTGAAAAATACTGGTTAAAATACATTCTTTCCCAGAGTACATATGTCAAAGATTCCCTTCCAGCCCCTTCCTCATCAACCTACTTGATAATTTCTTCTCCATCTGAACAGTCTACAGTGTTTGTCTCTAAATCTGTTGGACACCAAGGACCCCATGATATGCTAGTGCTAATGATACTGTGTCTCTGTGCTTTTGTACGTCTCTGACTCTCATGAGGCTGTCATGTTTTTCTGCAATGACAAGTCACACTTCCAAGCCTCAGCCTAAGAGAGGAATTACTTCAGGACATGTTAAAACGTTTTTCCGAGTGCTATCTGAAGGGGTCAAAAGAGTCAATGTGTCATCTTCTCTGTAAATTTCCTGTGATAGAAAGATAATATAAACACATGCTTAATTCATTTGGTAAAAGGCAAATTTATTTATGGGAATCCAGAAGTAAACTGCAATTGCATTCCATTTCTTCATTCTTTAGGCATGCCCACAACTCAGAGCAGTCAAAGGTAGGGCCAATGTCATTTAAAAGTTATTTGCTTACAATAGAGGGATTCAAAAAGTGTTCTGTCTCTCGCACAAAGTTTTCCTGCTTCCCTAGTGTTAAACAGTGCCAGCTCATCCGATTTGGTGACCCTAATTTTGTGATCACTTAAGTTGTTTCTATGCAGCATTAGATAGCTAGCTGGAGTTCTCTCACTGTCAATAAGAGCAAGCCTTAAGATTTAAAAAGTACAGACAATAAATAACCAAAATAAAGGAAAATCTCTGACAGAATAGCTCAGGGGTTCTTTACATTTGCCTATACAATTGTTCCCTGCTAGGGAAGTACTTTATTGCATGAAGATCTTATTCCACGTACCCGAAAACTCCCCACTGGAACACACAATGATAAATATCCTTCGCTATGGCAAGATTAGAAGATTACTGCAATTAAAGGTAACACAAAGCACCATCTGGAGTATACCAACTTAAAAGAATCTAACGATTCTTTTAAAGGAAAAGTTTGTGCAGCTTTGGTGTTAATCAGAGCATTTCAGAGATGACTTGCCTAATTAAGTGCATTTTAACTTGTCTAAAATGATAAACAAGTTCATTATTCAAATCTTTGTGAGGGGAGTGATTTTTTTTTTTTGTAGCAGTTAGCTGCTTGATTAGAGTACAATATATGCAGTCAAATTCATAATGTCCTGTTCTCAGTGTAATGAAACCCTATAAAACTTTTATATGAAATCAAAGAGACTAATTGTCTCTGACTAAATGTTTCTTCTTATCTGTATCATACTTTGGGAAGCAGAAAAAGTGCAGGTGGCTCTCTACTGTTCTTTTATGGAGACACCATCTCTAGGCCAAGATGAAAGCCTTTCATGCCAAAGATATTAGAAAAGAGAAAAGCTGACATTACAAAGGATGTTACAGAATCCCAAGGTTTAGAGAAAAACCTGAATACACTTACCTGAGAATCACCATGTTAAAGCTGAGAAGGACAACAGCATAAAATTTAAAAATTCAGAAGAGTAAATTCAGCTAGCTAAAATGAGAACTGAAGGAACAACTTTCTGGTTTCTTATTCTTTCCTCTCTAAGAAGTTGAAAAGACTCTTGCTGAAGTGTTAAGCTCTTTGAGGTTGTTTTGCTAGATAACTGTTAAAAATCACCCAGGGTTTTTTTGGCATCCGTGTAAAATACTTTATTTAAACGTAGCGTAGCTCTGCCAGTCTTCATTTCATAAACATCCCATATCTGAAAACAGTCAGCATTAGATTAGGTGATAATTCAGTCATTTATCATCCAAAAACATCTTGTTCTTTCTCAGAGAAAAATTTGATAAACCTTTCTGTGATTTAAAGTGAAAGTTACGGTCATTTTAGCAAGCCCAGTAAAACAAAGACCTTTCAAAACTCTAATCAAGGCAAAACATGAGTTTGGTCAACTTACTTCAGGCAAAAAAAGTATACAGTCTAGGAATTGTCGAATCAAACTCGTTAGCATGATCTCCAGAAGACTGGAGTTGGTCTAGATGGACAAGCAGAAAAAGGGGCAATATGGTATTCTATGTTCAGCATGTTTGCAAGCTTTGTATAGCTTCCAAACTGTCTAGATACAACAGGATTTTCTGAAGTGGTCTTTCACTGCAATGTGTGTAATATACATATATTTTTTTAATATATATAATGATTTTGCTGAGCTGCTCAGAAGAAGAATATAAAAAAGGTACAATCCAGATCATGTTTTCAATGAATCAAAAGTTCATTAAACCGTGAGTAAAATTATTTTCATAAATTTCTCAGTGAAAATAAATAAAAATACTCAATATCAGTAGGAATTCAGGAATGTACAGTTAACTGTGGTTTTGCTATGGTGGTAAATATTAAAATCTCTGGGAGAATTGCCTTTCTAATTTCTGCTAAAGTTGTTATGTGAATTTGGGTTACGTTTATCAAGTTGCTTTTTGTGGGAAGAGAAGTTTGACAAGAGATTCATAAAGTTACAGGCATGCAGGTGAGGCAGTGTCCCATTAGGGACAAGGGATAAGTGAGC